GGGAGTAGAAAGCCTCATCTTTCTCCCGCGGAGCGGCTGGTAGTTTCGAACCGCTGACCTTAAGGTTCGCAGCCCGATTCGTAACCACTACGCTACCTAACTTATATAGTACTATATAAAGTCTTAGTGCTGAGGGAACATTCAGGTAAGATGTCTATGTCTATGTAGAAGAGATGGCAAATTCAGAGTTCTTTGAGTTCTTCAGCTGATTCAGCATTGGCTTACCTATTAGGAACAATAGGCATAGTATCATGAGTTTAAATTATGTGGCAGACACTCTTTTAAGTACTTTACATGCATTAATTCAATCTTTTAACAACCAAATGGAATAGCTACTAATTTATATTTTTATGGATGAGGAAACCATCCCGATAGTAAGGTTAAGTCACTTGGCTTATGTATTGTATGCAAGATAGAATCTTAGGCATCCTAGTGTGAGATCAGAAACACTTGGATGCCCTGCCTCTTCATATAATGATAAGTCATTAGGAAATCCATTGTGCATAAATAAATATACCTAAGCCCATCCACACATATGGCTTATGGAACTGTTCAGACATAGGTACTACACCCTATGTGTTAACGTGGCACATTACTGCGTCTTCCTAACAGTCAATTTCCTCAAGTGACTATAGTACTTCTCTGACAAAATTTATGTGATCAAAGAATGGAAAATCTTACTGGGTTGCTCCAGGGTGTTTTCATTATGGACTGTTTGGGTCCCTCCATTTCCACCCGTGGCTACTGTGATTCTTTTACAATGATGATCTCTCTGAGATGAAAACTTCAGCTCAAAACAGTGGACTTGGAATCTCATTACCAGTCTTTTTTTTTGGTCTCTTTTTTTAAAGGAAAGCTCAAATAAGAGTTGGAATCAATAACTGACCCCCAAGTCCTGTAAATGAAATAGGCACAACATAAAATTACTCCTCCTCCCATGAACACTTGACTACGTGACTGGAATGAATGCGAAGAGATGAGGTAGCTTAGGAACAGAATGGCCTCTTCAGCAGACAAAATTGACAGCGTTATCACAAGGAGCACAAAGAAGGAAAATGGACCAAAATTTGATTTCTGGAGTTCCTGGCTTCTTCA